GCTCAGAGGCAACTAGCAGCCCAGGGAAGCCCAGTATCTGCAGGTAGGGTGAAGGTTATGTTGCTGTGGCATTCATCTTAAGCCCACTATGAGCCAGGCCCCCACTGCAGCTGAACAGCAGACCTCTGCTCAGACCAAGCCAGCCTTGCAGATGCACAGCAGCTGCTGCTGACCCAATCCTGCTTACCCCAGGAAAGGAAATATGTCACTGACAGCAAAAGAGAAGTTACACCTTTTCAGCTGACTCATTACTACAGCAGTCTTTGACATAAACACTACAAATCCCCGAGGCATCTGCAGGCAGCTGGGAGCCATGCAGAGCAAAGAGCAACCTGTAAACACAGCGGTCAGACTCGGGGGAGGTGTGGAGGGAGGCTGTGAACACCGTGAAACAGGTACTTGAAACACAAGGAAACACTGCTCATTATAAACCATGGGGCTGGTCCATATCTGTGCTGCAGCTGCTGAGTTCCTGTTGAGTTGGCAGAGCATGGAGCCATTGGGGTTCTGTGGACTCAGCCCCTCTGCCTGAGCCAGCCCTGCTTTTGAGGGATGCAGTGCCCTTGTACAAAGCAATCCACCACAAAGAGAAATAGCAAAAAGGAACTTACTGTTCTATCGGGAACTTCTACATCTGTGAAACAAACATGCTGCTACTCAGTTCATCTACTGATAACTGGGATATCTACAGCAAAAAAAACAAAGAACACAACACATTAAAACATTGCCTTGAGATCAGGCTGTTCATTTTGTCTTCAGAATCAGGTTAATAAGTACATCACTGTCCTACAAAACAGGATCCATTCCAAAGAAGTCTTAATTTTGCTACATATTGAGTACAACGAAGCTGCACCACTACTGATGCCTTGTGGAATATGTAGTGACTGTACTAGGATTTTGACTCCACAGACTACAAGTCAGACAGAAATGCCCTGAAACTATCTGGTTGAAACAGGACTCAAAGAGCCACAGAGCAACACTGCACAGGAATTTCTACTTTCTTCTCATGACCAATAAGAGTCTGAGTAAGACCTGCACTACCTGAAAATAACAACAAAGCACAGAAAAAGACTGACAATCCCTACTGCAAGCAGTGAAACACTGCCTAGGACTTATGCAGGCAAACCCCTGCTGAAAGCCTCATGACCTCAACACTAGCAGAAGACTAGAGGATGCCCCTGGAGATATTACTGGCATTCAGCATGGCTAACAGCCTCCTACAGAGCAAAGTGACACCCCGATTCCTTTGCAATAGCTCTAAACCTGAGAGCATGACAAATCAAAAGGCTAAAATTAGTATGGGGGGAAAAATTAAAAAAACGTGTTTGAAACATCTAACTGGGAGAAGCTGTGTCACACTGAATTATCAGGAAGCATCACTAGGACAGGTTGTGCATATACAGTTCAGGACTGGTGCGGAAGCAGCCATCACACTCAGTATCTTCAGAGGAAAGTTTTGGAGAGAATTATGGCTCGGCAGACATGCATGGAATCCTGTACACTTATGGCAGTGCTACAAAGGCACGTACTGCACATCCAGAGTCATTTCTGTAGGGATGGGTGACATGCTACTGGTGTAAAAAACCTTCAGACTTCACAGCCTCACCCCTGTTTTTGGTTTTGGGGGATTTTCTGGTAGTTTTTAGAGTCCAATTTTGTGGTGGAGGAGAGACCACTTTGTGTTTCCACTTCCACTTTCCAGCCAGGAGAAGACATGCCAAAATACCACAAGGAAGGATGCTGGGGTGGTATTTCTGCTTGAGACTGAAAGCAGAAGTGCTGTAGGTCTTGCGTGACATCACGCTCAGGAGTTTTACAGCCCATTTTTTCAGGACCCAGGGGGAGGTATGATTTTGGAGCAGAGCCTGCACACCCCTGCCAATCGCCCATCCCTACGCTCCGGCCGGGCTCGCTGCCCATCCCGCAGTGGCAGGACAGGCCCCTCACCAATCCCCAGACACACACGCGCACACACACACACTGCCTCTGCACCGGGCACGGGGTCCAGCCCTCGCCCGGTCCTCGAGATCTGAACACGTGAAAGAAAGCCATTGAAAGGGCCAAACCTGATTGGCGGTAGCTGTTGCAGCGAAGGGGACGCTGGTGGCAGGAGTTGTTGCTGCAGACACAGTGGTGGGCGTAGCACCGTGCATCATGGGCACTTTCGGAAGGGAACCATGGAAGCGACATACGGGAGGGTGGAGCGTATATATATTTTGTTTGTTTGTTTGTTTTTTATGTAACCATGGCAACATGTGGTGGATTTGGGGGCGTGGCAGGAATCACAGCAACAAGCCATGTGACATCGTCATGAAGGACACATCGGGGCGCAGCATGCAATCACAGTGCAAAGCAAGACAGCGTTGGGAAAAAAAATAAACAAGAGAGAAGGGGAAAAGCCAATTACAATTATAATTAAGGAAAAAACCAAAACATTCTCAACACTTAGTACATTTATAAGCAGAACAATGATGTATTAGACTCCGAGGGCCAAATTTCCAAAGGGGGGAGAGGATGGGTGTGCTAGCAAAAGCCCATGTCAGCTCGCACCCGTGGGGAGTTAGACACAGCCAGTGCACGTTCCTTTGGGTGGGGACATTTTGGCAAGCGCACCCTCCCGCCCGCTTGGGAAAGCTTGTCCCCTTCCCTCCCCACCCCATCCCCGCCAGCAACCAGAGGTACATGATGCACTCCGCAGCCCTTTCACCAGGTTTTCTTGCCTCTCTCTAGCAAGGATGGTATTTCGGCACGGGACAGAGCTGGAGGCACGGCAAACGAGTGGCTGGCAGCCCGAGCTCTCTCCGTACAAATTCAGCATGCTTCCCTTCCACCCTAATTCTACAGGATTTGGCAAAACTCCCCTCTTGCATGGTGGGGGGGGGATGGAGAGGGGAAAGGACCGAGAGGGAAGAATACACAAATGCATCTGAACAGCTACAATTTGCAGGAAGAGCATCCGAAAGGACAACACGGCAGCAGAGAGCTCGGCAGCCTCCTGAAGCTGCACGTCCTGCGGAGCGCAATGCTGGAGGGAATGCTCTGGTGCACACACGGGCAATCCCCAAAACCAAGAGGGGTTTGCGGGGCCGAGGAGCCCGCAGGAAGGCCCAGCCAGCCCCACAAACATGCGCAGGGAAGCAGACTTGCCTTCCCCTCCACCCAGCAGACACGGTCGGCCCCAGCAGGAGGGAGCCGTGTGCTGGCGGGATGGGCACACTCCGGGCACGTCGGGCCCGA